TCGAATTTTTAAAAATTCATTTTAAAAATGTCACAAAAAATTCATTTTGCAAGAAATCAAAATTTCCCTTTAACAAACCGTCCTTTGTCATGTCTACTAGGAATGTGCAAAGTTATATTGCGTTGTTTTTAATTATTTTTTTAGTTATTTTATTTCTACTTTGTACACAAATGTTGTTCAATTTGAACCCAAGTTTCGCTAAAAATTTATAAATTGGCCCAAATAAATACAGTGCTATAATGTTTAAAGTATTTTAAAGTTAATACAATTTTAAAAAAGCTTGTATCTTACAATTTCTGAGAAAATGTGTTTTCACCACCGGTCCCTTAAAAGAATCGCCTGCTCAATGTACACATTTCAATGAATGGACTGCTATATCCACGTGGAATTCATCAAATCATGTAAGTGTTCCTGGTTCAAATCCTACAGAGTCACAAATATATGGTTGAGTCGGTAAATCGGATGGTTTCTAAGCCCGTTCTGGAGTTCGAACCCTCATGCAGATGAGGCTCGATAGCTGGGGACAGCCACTCTTCTAGGAGAGACAACTGCAAAATCAAACAACTGCTGCCTCGTACTTGAAGTATGTTCTTGGTTGGACAAATGCTATGGATGCAAATCCAAAATGAAAAGCAGGCTGAAATCGGAGTCAATGGCCTAAATTGCGCATAACCAGTTGACACGTAGGCCTATACTTGATTGTGTGTTAAGGTGAATCCTTTCCAACACTAAAATTAAAAACGAATCGGAAGATAGGTGTTAAATCTTTTTTTTTAACACATGCATTTTTACTGAATATTGTGTGTGTGCTGTATGTAACTTATAAAATATTCATATTGTGTATGTTGTGTGTATTTAGTGTGTTGTGTGTGTTCTGTGTGGTGTGCTACGTTGTTATGTGGATGTTGTGTGTGTGTTGTGCTTAATGACTTGTGTTGCATGTTCTGTGTTCTGTATTTTACGAACATTCTGTATGTGTTGTGTCTGTTTTCAATGTGTGTGTTTTCTGTGTTATGTATGTTTTCAATGTGTGTGCTTTCTGTGTTGTGTGTGTTTTCAATGTGTGTGTTTTTTGTGCTGTGTATGTTTTCAATGGGTGTGTTTTCTGTGTTGTGTGTGTTTTCAATGTGTGTGTCAGTGGTGTAGGCATGGGGGGGGGGGGGGGTTAGTGGGTCATAACCCCCCCCCCCCATAGACCCCTCGGTATATAAATATAAAGTATGAAGGGGGGTGCAAATCGAAATTTTGTCCCCGGGTAAAAATTGGAACCCCCCCCCCCCCCTTGAGACGATCCTGGCTACGCCACTGGTGTGTGTTTTCTGTGTTGTGTGTGTTTTCAATGTGTGTATGTGTGTGTTAAGCGTATTGCGCGTGCTGAGTGATTTCTGTACAATGCGTTTGGTGGGTGTTAGGGTTGTATTATGTGTTGTGTTGGTGTTGGTGTTGTGTTGTGTGTGGTATGTGTGTGCTGTTATTATTGTATATTGTATACAATGTGTAGGTAAGCACTTTTCATGTTGTATGTGTTATTTATGGTGGATACTTTGTTTTTTTTTTTTGGTATGTTGTGTGTATGTTTGTGTGGCGGCTATGTTTTTTATACGTTATGTTTTATGTATGGCAATTATTATGTTTTTCTATTTTTTGAGTGTGTGTGTATGTGTGTGTGTGGCGGCCTTTTTTTATACTGTATGTGATATGCATGATGGCTTTTATGTTTTTCTATTTTGTGTATTTTTTGAATTTTTGTGTGGAAGAACTTTGAAAGCCTTCTCGTTTTTTTTAACCATTTTTTATTTTAAAATTGGATTTTTTTGCTTTTGAAGATGATGGATAAAATAATAATTTTTGGATGTGGGTGGGTGTGGGATGGGTCAGAAGTGTGTGGGTAGGGTCAGGAGGGTGGGGGTGGGGTCAGGAGGGTGGGGTAGGGTTAGAAGGGTGTGGGTGGGGTCAAACCTACCCCACCGGTGATAGAACCACCACCGCTAGAAAGCCGTGACGTCATTGTTAGCGCATGCCTAAGCATTAAATCTCAATATCCGGCCAGGAGAGGGCCGGAGTGTGAAATTAGAAGAATTCCACGGAGGCGAACCTCGGCCCCAGAAAATCAATGTCCTTTTACCCTGCGCATCAGCCATGAAATTAAGTCGCTTAGTTTATAGCCCAACTTCCTTGCCGGCCTTACATTTTCTTTTTCAAATTTCTTTTCCATATTTTCTTGACTGGTCCGTTGTAGTGCTTTGAACAATAAGAAAAGTTGGAAACTTTAAAATATATGTAGGTAACAAACAGATAATATAATAGGAATTTAATTTAACATATTTCTTGTAGACAAATATGAATCCTCGAAACTTATAGTTGAAAGTCAATCACAGAGTCGTTGAAGATCAGAACGCGAAGAGATTTTATTCCGCCGAGCTTATTTTTAAGTTTGAGGACAATAAACATTTAACGTAAATGGAGATTCGGAACTTATTACCACATTCACAACTATATTAATATTTGTCCGCAAGTGTGGTCGAGGAGGTAGAACGCTTGGCTTCTAACCCGAAAGTCTCGAGTTCGATTCTGAGGGAAGTCTCAGGGTCCAGCCATCTCTGTTTCTCATTAGACTCAGGTTAAGGGAAGTAAAGGGTATAATGCTAATCACACTATTACTTCATATACCGTGGTAAAAAAAACACGTGAACTCTACTCCGTCTACCCTATTTACCATTAGGTCCTCAGACGGAACGTTTACAACTTGATCAGAATTGTTATGTACGTTGACGTTTGGAAAATGTTGGTGACTTTGACGTGTAACGTGAAAGTGGGACAGAATGTTGAGGTATTTGTAAGTGTAAGGGTTCATGATACACCATCTGTATTTAGTTTCATGGTGTATTTCTCAATTTAAGACAAGCAGTTGTTTTGTAGTTTGATGAAGTATTTATGAATAACACTTTTGATAACAAACAGTAGTGAGTAGTTTTATAGTGTATTTATAACTACAATATTTCGAGGGTACTTCGTTGAGAGAGGTTGCCAGTCATAAGTTCAGAGTGGGAGGGTGAGAGAGTGCCACATAGAGAACGAAAGAGAGGGAGATACATTGAGGGAGAGAGGGCTACCGTTTGGGCGTAGCCAAAGTGAAAACGAATTATCTTTAAACAAATTCCGTGATGATTTTAATGATTTATATTGTTTAAAAACTTGATAAAGAAGTGCAAGATTTTTTCACTACACTTGTGATAGTTCATTTGTATTAAAATGTTTCATTTTAAGTTGCAAACTTTCCTGGTGAAATATCGATGTAGCACATTTTATTTTAGAGCTGACATAAAACAGGAGCTTACACTTGAGAGTCGTGGAACAATTATTTTGGTGGTGAAACACTTCACATAGTGAGGATGGGGAGGTGTGGTTGTGTACCTATGATCCACATTAAATGAGAGATGTGGATGTGTTCCTATGCTAGACAAAACATACACATTATGGTGTTGATGATATTCCATTTTTCAAACACCTTCTGAAAACGTAGGCGTAAAATCATTTTCTCCTTCTTGCCATTAAATGCAGTGAAAATTTTATATTTTTTATTGGTATACACAAAATATATTTTAACGTTATTAGTAACAAAAGAAAAACAAGACAAATGCTGAATAATTTATTGTAATTTTATTCCAATCACTAAAACGCTCGAAATACACACAATCATTGACCAATCATCAACCAATTACCGACCAATCATGCTTTTTCAAGTACATATATCTAATGAAAACAAAGCACAAATGATTCAAATAGACAGAAGAATGCAAATATTCACTTCGAATTTCCAATCACATACCCGAGAAGACTTTGTCAAAGTAACATATTTTACACACTTACATTTGGGTCAGGTTTATTCAATAAATTATAGGACAAAATTAATTGATTAAAAAAAAGTATTTAATCGACATCAGTAATGATTGTTCGTTCATATTTTTTTTAAATGACAGGCGACATATATAAGTTAAGATCAAAGTATAGTTCTAAAATAAATTGTTTTCGCTGTATTGTACAGTAGCAACACTAATCAAAATATTTTTTTAAGGTTCTGTAGTTCGGCAAATTGTTAAAAGAAAACTGAAAGGATTATAGTTTGAAGGCAAGAACTGTTGATTTAAATTATCTGAAATTTTACCAGTTTTTGTTGTCTGTGCCGGTCTACAAACTTCTACCACAATCGAGGCTAACGCACAGTATCTAGAGAACTAGGGCAAATCTTCACGCTCATCATCGAACTCTTTGATAGCCTAGCGATACCTTCACTACACATAAACTACTGTCACTACCATAAAACTAACACCAGACCGTCATTACCACAAAACTAACACCAAACCATCACTACCACAAAAATACCGCCACACCATCACTACCACAAAACTAACTGTTGCCTCCACCACCAGACCTCTATTCAAACAACGAATAGCCCAATACAGCTAGAGAAACAACCACTACCACAATACTACCACACAACTAACACTAGCCCATAACAACCATAAAACTATCCGTAGCACACCAATACAACAACCACTACCACAACATTACAACCATCTTTTCCATTCTACCAGAACTACCAGAACTACCAGAACTATAACGCTAGCAGTAACTCAACGTAAACTGACCCACAGGTCACCATTGCAGACCTAGTAGAATGACCTAGCAGACTAACCAACATGACTTTAACAGACTGACCTATCGAATGACCTAGCTGGCTGACAAAGCAGAATTGACCCATCGAACTTATCTGAATGTAGAGACTCTCGTAAAATGACGAAGAAAAATAAAGGAAAGATAATGGACTTATTTGAAGAGCAAGTAAAACTGAAGTCTTATTTAAGTAAAACTAACATTGAACACATGTTTTGCCATTTGTTTGCTAATTTAATTAAAAATTTAAAAAATATTACATCATGTGAAAATAAATATTTTATTCTTGCTAATAGTTAGCAGTATGCTATAAATATTTCCTTACTCTGTAACGTAAAATAAACATTTTTAATTTTCAAAAAATTGTGTATATAAACTATATGTTGTTTTTAATCTTGTAATCTTTGACTTTATGAATTCATTCAATTATTTCTAAGCTGCCTGATTACTAACAGCAGCTGATTTGTAAAATTGATTCCTTTGTAAAACACATATCTAAGCAAATTAAAAAAATCTAATTAAATCTTGAATGGACTTATCGATCGTCGGTATCGTTTTAATTAGTTTTGTGTAATTAAAGGATGTGAAACTATGTTGTTGTTTTTTATTCAACATTTTTGGGAAGTTCTAACATTTATAAGTTTAGCAGCTGTGTTGCTTTTTTTTTAATCATAAATTCAAGACATATACTAGGCTATTTAAACTTCCTAGATTTATATTGAAAACAATTTCTACTAAACATCGGCAAGTGAAAATACAGTAGTTATATGGAGTTGTGTTGCTAGTATAAGCTCGCTCTAGGTAGTAGTTGAGTTGCGTTGCTGGTATGAGCGCCCCCTAAACCCTAACCAAAAGGAACACTATTTGAACCCAAGTAACAGGGTAGGAACACAGACTTTGAAAACATGCGAGCCTCCGAGAGATACACCAAATAAATATTAAATAGTGTGGAAAAAATCCGGCAGAAAAAGCCAAAAATATTAAAACCTTTTACCAAATTTGAAAACAAGTTGTTATAAAAGAACGGGAAAGAGAATGCGAGTAATGGAGGAAATAAAATGACGACTGTAAAAATATATTATGCCATGAACGCTGTAAGATAGAACACGTTTTTAAATTGTGTTCAAAAATCATGAAAAATATCATCTTTAAAACATTTTTTTTTTATTATGACAATTTAGATTTGACTAAAACGCATGATTTTATTATGACATTGATTTTGACTTCAAAAGAAAGCAATAAATTGAGTATGATTCATCACTGAAAGTATCCAGTTACTCGACAATCGTACCTTTTCACACACTTCATCTCTGGCGTGTAAGAAAAGAATTTTGGACAGACAACTCTCCACACTGCCACCGAATCTTAACCCCGCCAAGGTATCTGGCGTTATTTATATTTTAACAAAAAATAAATCTTTGGTTTCTTGACGCAATAAGTTTACCATCTCATTTATCATGACATCACATAAATAATTAATTATGTCTCATTAAAAACATTGAATACAATGATACGATAACGAAAATAGGGGCGCTGCTACTGTCGCAGGAAGCGCTAAATGATATGAACGACGATGCTCGTAGCAAAGTTGTCGGCTGTATGTACAATACTTAACATCGAACATTCTCGAAATTTGCAAAAAACTAAACACATTAAAACCACGAGTTTGTCTTACAGCTTTACCCCCAAACACGTCATTATGTTACATTACACAGGTTCATTAATTAATTAATTAATTCAATAAATTATTATTTAAAAAAAAATAATCGCTAGCCTCAGCGAAGAGGTATTTGAAAAATAAAACAATTTGTCACAAATTCTCAAGTTCTTATGTAACCGACAAAAACATATTTCATGTCACATAATGTCAATTTATGACGTAGTGACATATGAAGAAGAGAAATCTTATATTATACTGTACATGATATTCAAGGTAAATTCAAATGACTAAACTGTTACATCGATCTCCCGGGCAATAAAATCAATCACCAAGTCGATAAAAAAATCATAAAAGAAAGTCCTACTTTCGCTAGAATCTGGGAAATACATCCATGCTGTTCAACGATTGTCGTACTTTATTGTTATTTGTCATTCACGCTGTTTTTAAATTTCAGCCAAGCTGTTTCTCGAGTGTCATTTAAGCTCTTATCTAAATGTCATTTAGAATCCATTTTAAATGTCATTCAAAAAGTTTTATTCCAAATATCACGTGACCAGTTCTGTAAACTGATATACAAGATGTCGTTATTATACAATCCACGGGCGAGCTTGATTGGTTGAATCGATCACGTGTCTCCCGTCGACAAGTCCGGACGACCAAGTAAACTGTAGATGTATCGTCTGGCCAGTAGCTGAATAAATAATCACCAGTTAAAGATGGCTTCCTACAACCTTAGCGCATGCGCGGTGTTTGACACCCACCGTTTAGGTTTACGACCAGGGGCATTAATTTGAATTGTATATGTCTGATGATCGCCCCTTTTCCTTGCGTCAAATTGTAAGCTTGACAATTTAACTCAAAATGAAAGCGATATTCAAATTTCTCCTGAACGATAAGTTTCAACACAATACATGGGAGATAATCGTTTATTTCTAGTGGCTGAAACTTGCATCTTTAGTGATTGTCTTGTTAGCTTGGGAATAGAATTCTGAATATCTCTGAAAGCAGGATCCGGTTAATATATTAAATGTGCACGGAACACATTGGCTAAGTTGTATCCTCAAAGTTTGGTCTACTGGTATACATGAGATGCCAGCGTACACAATGGGACAAGAGAACAGGCCAGCCTTGAAATGTTGGGGTTTGGTTGGTGATTTGTTGAAGTTGGGGAAGAGACAAGATCCATACGAGATTAGGTGAAGGTAGAGACATCACGTGAAAGCTCAGGAGCTCACGTGAAGGCTAATGACCTCACGATTACGGCGCATGCCCCATGGTTAATTGTCACCAAACCTCTGACGTCATTTCTGGTAGCTGTTGGTGGTGCGGGTGGTGTGGGTGATGGTGCGCGAGGGATGGCGAGAGAGAGGGGTTGAAGTGGTGGCCCATGTTTCGGGGCATGCCGAACGGCTCGTGGGGCCCCATGGGTTCTGGGGTGGAGGAGGGAGGCATCATATCCCCGGGCAGGAACTGTCCGTCTGGTCCTATGCCTGGGAAAATAAGAAACGAAATCAAACATTTTAGTTTTAGGGATGGGAGGCATTAAGCTACAAGTACTAAAATAAGAAACGGGAAAACCCCAATCAAGCTATAGGAGGCATTAAGCTACAGATACTAAAATAAGAAACGAAATCAAACATTTTAGTTTTAGGGATGGGAGGCATCAAACTACCGGTACTAAAATAAGAAACGGGAAATCTACATCTAGTGATGGAAAAAATAAAAAAAAACAGATACTAGAATAACATCGATATTAAAAACATCTATATTGACTTTTATCATGAACAAACTAACAAAATACATTGTGGTAGTTTTACTCACAATGTGATGACTTTTTATTTTGTAATAATTAAGAGAGATGATATCTGGAGTTTAAAAATCGAATAAATTTAAATCAATGTTGCTTAACATAATTGTTCAGGTTTTGATAAAATAAAATGCAGTATTTTGATATGTGGATTTCTGTGGACATTTCTTTGACGTAGACTTTGTCTAATTTCATCAATAGTTTTCATTTGTCGAAGTTTTGTTGATGAGAACATATGTATATTTAGACACCTATCAGGCAAGGATATGCACGGGCCACAGGTTTAGTGGTGTGAGTGCCACGGGAAGTGGCGATGTGAACGCATGCAGGAAATGTCTGGCAGCGCGAGAGATGGACAAGTGTCAAGAATGACCCGGGGCTGACCACAACAGGCGCAGACGTGAGTTGTCAAGTTGATGTCTGATGCACGGTCCTAACGGCGTGCTTGAGGGTACACGGGCGAGCACGTGAGTGACGCGTCAGCTGAGAGGGTGGGGGTGTGGGGTAGGTGGTGGTATGGAGTTTGTTCAAAACTTTAAAATGGTGCGTAAGTTTTAAAGTCAACAAGTTCTGGGTAGGGTGGATTGAGGTACGGACTTGGTTCAAAACTTTAAAATGGTGTGTACGTTTGAACATCAACAAGTTCTGTCAGTTAATGTTAGAACTACAGAAAGAACAAACGGATATGGTTCTGTTAGAATTAGGTTCAAGAGAGATAAACGACGCACACGTTTTGTTGTGAGTGAACAACCAGTACAAACATCTTGTTCAAGTTCTTCACTTGTAGCTAAACAACAAAGACTTTAATTACCGCAGAGGAGAAAGTTGTTTTTATATCTTAGTTCTGGCTATTTAAATGTGGACTATGTCTTGTGTCAACATACACAGGGATTCTTGGGATAAGTTGTGGCTGTCAAAAACATTCTGGGACTTGTTTGAAACTTGTGTGCAGTCATGCGGAGACTTCACGTGTCGCGTGAATGTCATAGGGTAAAAAGTCATAATCTGACTGACATCGCTATTTAATAAATCATCACGGTGACTTTTTTTATTTCTATGTTGGGCATGTATGTGTATATGTATTTCGGTGAGGGGATGTGATGTGAAAGTGTGAGTATGTTGGGAGGGGGGGAGGGGGGAGAGTGTGATGAGAGGGGGAGAGTGAGGGTAACGCTAGGAATTCTGAGCACCAAAGACACGGGGTGTGAGCTGTACGATCCAAACCGTCCTTGACCTACGTAACTCGCAGGCTTACATACACCAGCACGCGCATGCGTCACTCACACTCCGGTGCCCCTGGGTGCCGGAGAATTCCGGATGTGGCTCCCAACACATGCTCGCATGTGTCTGTGAGACGTCACGCTTGAGTTAAGACTCGTCTATGTTGAGCTAAAGTTACTCTGTGTGCATGCACACTTGGAGATCTATACTAATCAAGGGGACCAACTATTCTCTTTCCAGACGCCATCAGCTGCCCATTGTGTAAGAAACCAGCACAACAATTATTAAAAAAATCAAAAGGATTTTTCAACTCCCCCCCCCCACTCCAATTAAAGTTCAACTAAAAAATGTATAACGAAACCGAAATTTCGAAGATTTCTTCAACACTCAAACTCCACACAGACACCACGAGAAGACTTAAAGAGAACTTCCCCGTAGGTCGCGCCCCACACCCTCCAGCCTAAACGACGCGCCCTCCCCGCCTGCACCTAATCTCCCAGCCATCGCACACCTCGCTAGGCCTGACCGCCCCTTTCGCTTCCAGTTAACTCTGATCAAGGTCCTCACTACTCGGCGCCTAGGGAACTCCGACTAGCACGCGGGCGGCTTTTCAGAGATGTGTCAAAACTGGTTAGTGTCACACCCCACTCCAGAATCTACATAAAAACACAGACACCCCACTCCAGAATCTACATAAAAACACAGACACCCCACTCTACAATCTACATAAAAACACAGACACCCCACTCCAGAATCTACATAAAAACACAGACACCCCACTCCAGAATCTACATAAAAACACAGACACCCCACTACACAATCTACATAAAAACACAGACACCCCACTACACAATCTACATAAAAACACAGACACCCCACTACACAATCTACAGTCTACAAAACACCAGACACCTCACTAAACAATCTACATAAAAACACCCGACACCCCACTCAACAAAACAAAAGACACCCCACTCCACAAAACACCAGACACCCCACTCCACAAAACACCAGACACCCCACTCCATAAAACACTAACCACCCCACTCCACTAAAGATACCCTCTAATGTACATGAAAATTTCAGATGGCAAAAATTAGAATAGTAAGCTAAACGAACGTCAGATATACAGATGAACACGAAGGAATCTTTCTTCCAACTGTAGATGTTGTTTTTCTTCTAGAGTATTCTTTATGTCAAGATCTTCATGAGTCTACAGATCCAACCACATTCGATCACCAACCAAAAGCATAAAGAGCTCACAAGAATCAAATATAAAGATATGCTGTATTGTACAAATAGTAACGCCCCATGAAGGTTCAATCCTGTATCTTTCACTTATAACAGAAACAGCAGTTGATTTGGTTGATGCAACCTAATATTATCTAAACCATGTTTTACCAATACTTACGTGAACACCCCAAGTCGTTTTAATAACCCGCGTATTATAAAACCTAACCAAAACTTTCCAATCTTGATTTACTAAAACTTAAACCACCTTGTGACCAAGTTTTATTAACCTTAAACCTAACACTAATTCCCCTTTTTAACCATGCATTATGAACCCTATGACCATATTTTACTAATCCTAACCCTCAACTCATCTTTATGGCCATGTTGCTTGAGTTATCTCACCCACCTCCCGCCGATTCTAAACCCTAGCAGACGACCGATACATCCATGGCTCTCTGTGCCCGTCCAGGGGCACATGAGTACAGCCTAAAATTACAACCCCCGCCTCAAAGAAAAACGTGAGTAGCTAGCTCGAGTTTCATTAGGGTCTGGCTTCAAAGTTCTAGTGCAAGTCTCTAGGAGGTCCGTGCTTCTTGGCTCTAACTCTGTTTGTTTACATTCTTACCAATTTACATCTTCCTCGCTGTCCACATTGAACAAACGCCTAGTAAATTAATGACCTCAGAAAATATCTTTTAACAAAATCACACAGGGCTGGAGGATGAATAGAACCAATCTAAGATCAAAAACAGTTCGGACATTGTTCTATCCCGGCCCGGGGGTCGCGACCTCTGCCGCACCGGTAAGACAGTTTACGCAACAAAAGTGGGAAATAATCCACCTCTTCAGGTGAGATTGCACATTATGGAACTTCGCACCCAGAATTCTCTGCGCGAGTAAGTTTGTTTCCAGCTTGTACCTGTTGCGTAAACGAAACGAAATTGAAAAAGTAAATAGAGAGAAGTGTATTTGTATACGTTAAGGGCAGGGGCGGGGTAGTAGGATCAATCAGTATTGGGTAATGGATAGGAGGCACGGGTTCAGATCTCAAATACCGTTTGTATTGGTATTGATGCACATGTTCATACTTGAACTGAGGATGATGTTGATGTTTGTGTAGATGTTGGTGTTGAAGGTTGTATTCATGCTGCGGCTGGTATTGATGCTTGTTTAAAGACTGATAGTTTAGCGTATGGTTGTATTTGCGATGATACAGATGTTGATACGGGTGATGATGCTGTTGCTTACGATGATGGTAATGCGCTAAATATGAAAATAACAAGACATTTCTCTCAATTGTTTCCTATCTCAAACTCTTCTTCTTGATGTCATTGTAATACCTTTATAGACACGCGTTGTCTTAGTATCGCCTGACGTTCACGGTTTCTACAATGTAAAAGTTCATTTACTCAACTCGCTGACAATGCTGCAGCTTTACACTATAAAACGGTTTGGTATTTTTCGTTTTATTTTTTTAATACCACAGCTCAGCCTGTCTCTCAGGTATATACCACGTGACGCCCGTGTTGTCAACACGCGTAACACAACCATCAAAGAGGATCTCCCCTCCCTTTTATCTGCCGGCACCCCACGGCGAGGAGCAGAAACTCAAGACGGCTCGTCTTTAGAGGGGGACGAGGGTATAAAGATGAGCTCACCATCCAGCTCGCGTCACCGTCACACCGAGCCTCTCTCGGCCCCGAGAGCCGTCAGGGGCCATCCAGAGCCATGGAAATCTCAGAGCCGGTTTTTGCTTTGCTCCCAGACTCCCGTATCACGTTACATCCCCGTCTGCGCGGCACTCGATCCGGCTGACCGGTTCACAAAATGAGTTTGACAGCTGCCCGGCAGGGGAACCGGCAGGGTGAGGCGGAAGCCGGCACCGGTCTCACTACACGACCGGAAGCGCATGGCCGGATCTTACAGAAACAGTCATCGATTGGTCGAAGCGAGATGGGAGATCTGGACTAGGAGAGTTAAGGGCAATGAGAAATCTGGACTATGGGATTGCTGGACAATGAGAAATCTGGACTATGGGATTTCTGGACAATGGGAGATCTGGACTATGGGATTTCTGGACAATGGGAAATCTGGACTATGGGTTTTCAGAACAATGAGAAATCTGGACAAAGGGATTTCTGAACAATGAGAAATCTGGACTATGGGATTTCTGGACAATGAGAAATCTGGACTATGGGTTTTCTGGACAATGAGAAATCTGGACTATGG